CGAGATCGCGCCTTTCAAGAGATGTTTTTGACCCTGTTTTGAAATATAAACAAGTAGGCGGAGCTTAATCAAACACGCTTGACAATTAGTTAAAGCGGCAATCCCTCTATTTATTAGGGATTGCTCGCAGTCTAATTTTCCCCGAGCCGGCGGCGCGAAGCGCAGTGCGAGGGTACTAATTCCCCTCGGCTATTTACACCCGGGGAAACGAAAGCATTAGCGAAGTCTAAAGTTCATCAATGAGCGCGGGGGTCGGTAACCAACGATGGGTGGTCATCCTCACTGATCTCAAAAATATGGCGGATTGTCATGATAACAGACAATAGGGCCATTTATACGTGACAAAATAAGTCGCGACTTACATAAGACGCGACTTAAATAAGTGGAGTTATCGCATAAATGGCTCTCTACGGCTTTGGCCTTATTTATTTGCTATAGCTATAATATTGTTTTGGTTGTTTTTGTTTTAATATGCAAGGCATTAAATTTTACGTTGTTTCAAGTTTCTGGCATGTCTAGTTAGACTTTTTGTCCAAAATTTCTTATTTAAGACGCGACTTAAATAAGAACAGCTAAAAGACCTGTTCTTATGTAAGACGCGTCTTATCTTACATAAGAATTTTGTACCTTTTATACCACAAACTCGCGTCTTACTTAAGTCGCGTCTTATGTAAGTCTCGTCTTATTTTGTTCCGTATAAGTGGCCCTAATGATCTCATTCAGTACCATTTTGTTGGGAGTTAGGTAACATCGAGTTGGATTCGAGTTCGAGTTCGAGTTGGACTTTGAGTTGGATTTGAAGTTGGATATTTTTCTTTGTTTTTTTTTTCGGAAAATGACACTGTGTATCACCCAATTTTGAAAAAAAATAGCTGAAAAGAAATTCTCGAGCACAAAAGATAAAAAACGTTTAATATAAACACAAAAAGCATATCTTATTACAAACTCGGTATATTTATAACAGCATGAAATTAGGCCCCGTTTACACTATACCGGATTGCATCGGAGCGTAGCGATTTTCATACCATACCAGATTCGGCTGCTGTTTACACTACG